ACCGTCCCTGTGGTGTAGGCTGGAGTTCTTTCCCCTTGGTGAGCAGAGGTGGGGTTTTCTGCAATTTCCATCATTTTCATGGCTGTTTCTTTTGGCTTAGCTGAATACCCTCTGGGTTTGTTGATTGGGGATCTGTCTGGGTTGTGCTGGGGGGCCTTTGAGCGGCATTCTACAGCTCGATGCCCTTCTCTTCCGCACTTGAAACACCCCATCTGCTTCTTGGCTGTATCCGATGATTTCACCGGTTGGTGTGTCAGCTCAGGCGGGGGGCGGCTCCATTGTTTTCCTCGGCGATGCCTCTTCAATATGTCGATCTCTGCTTCCTCTGCCAAGACGTACCATTCCTCAAGTCGATGTGGGTCTCCTCGGGGCAGGCAAGCATCATATAGATCATAGTTTAGTCCGTCTTTGAAACGGCCAAGGAGGATGTCTTCTGGCCAATTCAGTTTGCTGGCAATGGCTCGGAATTCTTGTGTATACTCAGCCACTGGGCGTTTGCCCTGCCTCATCGTTGTTATTCTTTCACGGGCTTTGCGATCAGCCAGGGGGTCTTCAAATCGTCTTCTCAACGAGGACATGAAACGGTTGAAGTTACTGAGTTCTGGGGCATTGGAGTCATGCAGGTTCACCACCCAATCTGCAGCTGGTCCATCCAGGGCAGATTGCACGATCCGGATGCGGGCTTTGTCGCTGGGGATGTCCTGCCCATATTCCTCCATGTAGCTGAGGACTTGGGTTAGGAAAAACCCCAAGCGTGTTGGCTCCCCTTTGAATTTCACCTCCAACGGTGGACGTCTTGGAATGGATCGGTGCCTCCATTGTGGGTGGTAGTGTCTTCCGTCCAGATTTCCATCTGTGGTCCGGTAGGGGGTGGGAGCTCCTGGATCAGTAAATGTCCCTGGGGTTGCAGGTTCCACGTCCCCCTCGGTGTCTCTCCCTTTGTGGCTCCAGGAACTGGGGCGGGCGTAGGGCTCAGGAATCTCCTCTCCTAGGGAGCTGAGAGTTCTCTTCATCAGGTCAATAGCTCTCTCTAGGATCCAGTCTGAGTACGGCATACAGCTTCCTCCCTCTTCACTTGCGTGCAGGGATTTCTCCATCTCCTGCTTCCATTCTGGTTGCTTGGTTCCCCGTCTCAGGGTCACTTTTCTTGATTCCTTTCCCCACTCGCTTTTCTTTCCAACGCCCATCGACCAGCGAGGCTTGTGGTCCTGTGTCTCCACCACTTCTTCTTCTGAGAAATCTGGCCTCTCGGATCCCAACATCTGGCAAGGTTCCAACTGGGTCAGCGGCTCTCTTTCCAGGGAGTTTTCTCCCTCTCTTGCTTCGTTGTCTGACATGGTAAATTTTTGCAAAATCCCCCGGCAAGGGTCTACCTTCCAGGTGGATTAATTTTGCAAGTCCTGTCTAATGTAAGGACCCACCCCACTTTGCATCTTAAGAAGACAGAACTCTTGGAATAGCTCTTCCAACAGGAATCCTTTATTAAGAGAAAATGGTTGCAGGCATGCTAGACAGGACTTGGGGTTCAAGCTCTCCCATTCAAGGTTTTAGGGGTTCCCCAGTAGTCCCACCCAATCAACCCCCCTTCCAGTGATAGTTTCAAGTATCACAATTCCATCCCCTTTCTTCTTCCGTCTGGATGGAGACTTCAGATAACTACATGAAAGGCAATTACTCTTCTTTGATATGTTAACGCTTAGAGGCCACAATAAACACACATTCAGTCCTTTGAAGTGTGCTGAAGGAAGTGAGGGCCATAAAGCCCCTTTGCTCTCCCCCTTTTCTCCCTCTTATGGCAGAATCCAGAGAAGGCAGAATTGGGAGTTTCTATGTTTGATAATTAAAGATGAAATATAATTGGATTCTGACAGGTACCCTCCTGGGCTTAACCCTGATGGGCGTTATGGAAGGATCTAATTGTAATGAAACTGGAGGCCCCTTGTAGGTTCCAAACACATCTGCAAATTCCTTGCAGACTTCTGCCAGGCTCCATGTTTACAAATTGTGCAGCCCTGTAATCTGGATTCCCAGAGCCTCGAACCAATCGAGTTCAATAAGACTCGTGCAACAACCAACACATCTAAGGGACCTTCAAAATCCTTGTACTGCACCTTAAGGGTGGCCTCCCTCTTAACACACACTTTAGAATTCTGAAAGTCTGTAAGTATTACATTGGATGGCCTGAGTTTAGCTCAAAGGCCACTGCTGCTGCAAATTTTCCTGAATGTGTTGAGGAAAATAATGGAGAGCAGACCCAGTGTCCAATTCCATTGATAAAGGAACCCCTTGTAACCTTACTTTAAGGGACAGTATCTTCTTGTATGTGCCTTCTTATGGTTTATGTGTACCTATCCTTAAAACATTTCTGCGTGTTGCGCAGAAACCCACCCTATTTTGGCTGGGGACCCTGATACCTTTCAGATGCAATTCTTCTCTAGGTTGTACCTTCTGATGATCAAAACATACGGATGCGATGTGGCTTTGCTTGCCGCATGCTCTGCAAATGGTGGAACAGAACTGGCAGTCAGCTCGTTTGTGGCGTCCTCCGCACCCGAAGCATTGAAGAGCTGTTGGGGCCTTTTCTGTGCATTTCTTCTGTCTCCTTACGGCTGCCTGGTGAAGCTTATCCACCTCCTTTTCAGGATCTTCCTCCGAATCTTCTCGCACATTCTCCTGGTGGACAGTGACTGTCTCTGGAGAGCTTCTGGTGGGCTGCAGATTCTTTACCGCTCCGCCTGCTGCTTCCTCTGCTGTAACCTGTTGCAGAGCATCTTGGAAAGAGACATCTTCTTTAGCGAAGATCTTCTGCTGTAAGTCTCTGTTCCTTAACCCGCATACAAAACGGTCACACAGTCTTTCTTCCAAGTCTTTAAACTCGCATGGTCTGGCTGCTCGCCTCAAGATCGCAATAAAGTCCTTAGCAGATTCACTTGCCCTCTGGTCCCTTTGTTCAAAAGTGTGCCTCCAAGAAATGATGGACAATTAGGCTGGAAATGCTCTTTCAGAAGTTTCTTTAAGTCAGTATATGTTGTTGACTCCAGGGAAGCAAGGGCCACCAGATTTTCTGCAATCTCAAAGGCTTCCTGCCCACAGACACATAACAGGGTTGCAGCCTTCAATCCATCTTCTCTGATCTGGTTTACCCTGAAATAATTCTCCACCCTCACTCCACCTCTGGGTGTGAGACATCGAACTTGGATAAACGGCCGATCTTCGCCATTCTGACTTGCACTTCACTACTCGCTTCTCTTAGGGAAGGGGTCTTTCAGCCGAACTCACCCTCCAGTGACGCTGTACTGGCAGGCTGGGATGCTGACTTTAACGCCGCCTTCCCTCTTCAGGACTTCTTTAGGTGAGCCTTTACAGCCTTCTTCTGTTAAGCTTGTAAAGCATCCCACCTTCGTCGCCAGTGTTAAATCCTCGCATTAATGGCGAATGATGAAGACACATCTTCCTTGAATAACTCTTTATTTCATTTTCCAGCCAGAACTCCAACAACGAGCAAAGGCACGCAGGCCTCCTTTTATATGCCCAAATCCCCAGACACAATGGCAACAGAAAACAGGCACTTTTCCCGCGTTGCGCATGTGCGCAAAGTCGGCGCCACTCAGTCTGGTCCCGGGCTGCTTCTGTAAAGCCCAGGACCATTGCAACATCCCAGGACACAACAGGGGCAATATGCTGACTCTAAACCACTTAGAGAGGTCTATAAAGCACTGTGAAAGGATATTTAAGTCTAAGTGCTATTGCTACATGGAAGTATGTCATACTTCTTGCACAGTCCCTTTATGCATTCCAAACTGATATATACCAACTTGTCTTCCAGCATTTAAAATTCCATCTGACTATAGTATATTGCTGGAATAACTTCCATGATAGTCTAATCTAGTCATTGGCTTTATCTCTTTGGAAAGTTTTAGTTTATATATATGAAATATATTTCAATGCATTTGTATGTATGGAGTGCATGTAGGTATCCTAGAGATAAAACTACAGTGAAGTCTGCCCATAGCCATTAAGCATCACACTTAATGAGTCTCCTATCCCTGCTTTTCCCTATGCAATTGTTAAATGAACATGCACATAGTTAAGTAGAGCACAGTGTACCTCAGGGATGGGGGAGGCCCTTGGGGGCCTAGCACAGGCTCTAAACCACCTCTCCTGGCTCTCCCATGATCTCCTCCACACATCAGAACACATTGTTTACTTCTTGCTCCTTGGGCCCCCACAAGCCTTTTTCCTGTCCCACCAGATCTCCCCATGCCTGATTTTAGGCCTGATTTTTGTCCCACCAAGCTAAATATCCTTTTTCTCATTACTTTCTAAAAAGCTCCAAGGTCTTCCAGAGAGCTGCAATGGACTGCTTTATCCTGTAGCTGTAGACAGTTCCATGATTCTGGAAATGTCCAGGCCCCAAGTTTGTCCCTGGACCACACAATGTGATTCCAGAATTGTGCCATGCACCCAAACAATATTCCATAGTGACCCATTCCAGCACTGTGGAAGGCTTCAGAACTCTTGAAAAATACGTGAGGAGGAGCGTATGGTGAACATGATGAACATCAGTCCTAAGACCAGCTGGGAACTGTTGAGGGAGGGAAATGCTTGCAGGAATACACTATGGGGGGAAGATCGGCTGGGGAGGGGGAGGGTGCTGCAGCATTCCTGTCATCAATCATAAGGACAAATGAACACAGGTATGCTGCAGCAGCTATAAGTAGTCATAAGTAGCTTTTCAGGGTCTACCATAACTTTCAAGTGACTGATTGTAAGTTGAGGACTATCTGTATTTTTCTACAAACAGTGCATTTTTGTATGCATGTTTAGAAAACTGCATCTCAAAATTCAGAAACTATAAACATCAAAATATAACTGATTTTAATGAACATATTACATCTGGAGTCTGTATTAAATTAATTTTAGATAATTTATGAACTAAACACTTTTTTTCCTGCCCCTTTTCTTTCTGAGTTTTTAGTAGTAAAACAAAATATGTTCACCTTGCGGATGTATTCTTGTAATCCATTCACACCATACATTCGGAACACAAACCACATTTTCAAAGAACGGAATCTTCTACCTAAAGGAATCTGCCAGTGCTGGAGATAAAACACAAATGACTTTTTATTCAGAATGGAATTGTCATCAAGAGGAGTAATAGATTAAACACTATCAGATTGTTTAATAAACAAAATTAGGATAATAAGGAAGAATCAAGGATCTGAAAGAGCAAATGCTATGCCAAGTTGAGATTTTGTAGGACACAAAGCAAGGTGCCATAGCACAGGCAGGATATATATAGAACCCAGGCAAAATGTATTCTTTCACAACTGGTTCTTGTCTCAGGCATCTTTTTTCTAGTCCTCCCAATACCTGAAGAGCAAAGTTTTGATTGTATCCAGCCTTTTTGTTTTTCCTTGGCAACTGTAGAATGTGCAAATTATTATTGTTACAGGGAAAAGAGTACTTACCCTGTAATCTGTAATGCATCCTGTAAAGGGTTGGGGATGAGTGAAGAGAAACAATTCAATATTATTGTAAGTATGAATTCATTATTTTGCCTTACGATATTTCAGGTAGCGTAAGCCATATATTTTAAAATTTATGTGGCAAATACACCTGAGCTTCAATGAAAGAAGCAATCTGTATAATACCATGGTAATTTGACTGAGTATGTATTTGGTAGAAAGTGCAAATCAGACTGTATGAAACACATACAGAGAAAATCCACAAATACTATACACAAATAAATGACCCCATGCAAAATTTTCTGCATAGTTGAAGCTGTTGTTAATAATATTTAAGAAAATTTCCTTCCACTGCAACTGAACGTATCCAAAGTTTAAAATACTTAAATATTTTAAGTATTTAAAATAATTTATCAAGAAAATGATCCAATTATATACTTCATTTTGTTTGATCTAAGACTCTAATCCTAATTCCAGCATTATATCTTCTGTTGGACAACTCATATAATCCCTCACTCAATAGAAAGACAGCTCTATTAATAGGCCTATTGGCCTATTGCAATCACATGCAATATATTTAGAATACAGAATAATATAGTTAGAAGGAACCTTGGAAGTCTTCTAGTCCAATCCTCTGCTCGAACAGGAGATCCCATACCATTCCAGACAAACGGCTGTCCAGTTTCTTCTTAAAAACTTCCAGCAATGGAGTACCCATGACATCCAGAGGCAAGCCATTCCACTGATCAATTATTCCCACTGTTAGGAAATATTTCCTTAATTCTAGGTTGCATCTCTCTTTGATAATCTTTCATCCATTACTTTTTGTCCTGCCTTCAGATGTTTTGGAGAGTAAGTCAACCGCTCTTCTCTGACAGCCCCTCAAATAATGGAAGATAATACTAGAAAATATTGAATCCTTTAGATTCAAAACACTGGAGCATGTAAGTTATGATGTGTTTCTCAGGTGCACAGTCAGTAACATCATTCTAACAGAAATCTGTTAATTTACAGAGCAGCCACTTAGGAATTAATTCCTTTCAAGATGCATTGGAAAGGCAGAAATGTATAAAATGAACTACACTGAATGTGGAATGAATGTATCTTTGTTTTTACAGCTATACAATTTCCTCTCACCACCTCTTTCCTCATAGATCCTTATGTCTAACTTTCAACTCTTCAAGCTGTATATGGGGATGGGGGAAGGACAGGAAAATAACTTGTTATTGGGTGCTATTTTATGGTAGATGGATATTGTACTGCTAGATATAATCCAGTGAATTAATTTCTAGTAATCTAATAAACTATTGTATTTATGAGAATGTCTTGCTTCACTTTTCTTAAGAGTCTCAAACTGACTTCCAGCTATTATTCTAAGTGTACTTAGTAAATAAAGTCAGTATAAAATTCTAAATTTTCACAGATATGGAAATGATACACTCAATCCTATCCTACCTGTTTTCAAATATATTCTCTTTTTCATCTACTGGTTCTGAGTTGTCACAAACCAAACCACATAACATATTGGAAAATAAATTTATGCCTAGTGAATCTATATAATTTCCATTACATAATAACCCAAAATATTTTGTTTTTCTTTTAAAGCCACCAATGGTACTATACTCTATTTATAGTTCCCAATACCTTTTTTAAAATAGGAGAGATAACATTTTTCCTAATAAAGCTATAAATAGCCGTACACAATAGATAGTAAACTAGGATACAAACTAAACTGAGGAAAACAGTTTTGGGGCTACAGCATGGAAGAGTATGCAAGTGGGAAAATTCTGCCTGTCCTATTTATTTCCCATACTTGCCAGCTTTTTTATTCCCATTAATATAGCAAATGTGTGATTGGAATATATAACTGAAGAAAAACATAATGGAACAGTGAGTAATTGAAAGGATGTAAATTCTAGTTACAAAGTAGGAGATATAAGAAACATACCCAAGACAATAAAGGACTTAAATTTTTATACACTAATGCTCAAAGTTTTGGGAACAAACAGGGTGAACTTGAAGTGTTAGAACATGAAGGCAGATATGATATAGTTGCCACTATTGAAACTTGGTAGGATGAAACTCATGACTTGAATGTACTGACGGAAGGATAGAAACTATTTAAAAGAATCAGATCTAACAAAAGAGGAGATGGAGTTGCATTATATATAAAAGATCACTACATCTCTACAGAAATACCCAAACCAAGGATGAAAACCTTCTAGAATCCATATGGGTCAATATAAAACGGGGGAAAACATGACATCGCCATAGGTGTATACTACAGGCCACCAAGCAGAAGAAATAGATGAACTCTTTGCTAACAAATTAACAAATGTGTGTAGGAAACATACCACTATAATAATGAGAAACTTTAATTACCCTGAGATCAACTGGGAGACACTCTGTAGCAAATGGGAGATCAAACAGATTCCTAACCAATTTAGCTGACAACTTTGTCATCTAAAAGGTAGAGGAGGGAACTAGAGGAAAACTATACTGGACCTAATTCTTACTAATAGAGAAGCAGTGATAGAGGAAGTTGAAATTGCCAGAACCTTCAGCGAGAGTGACCATGTCATACTAGAATTCAATATAATGCAATCACAAGCAATAGAATATAATCTAAACAGTGTCTTAAACTTTAAAAGAACTAATTTTAACAAACTCTAGAGAGAGCTTAAGCAAAATTTCACGGATAAAAGTCTTAAATTCAAGAAGCATGGGAAACAGTGAAAAATATGATCATAAAAGCCCAGTCCAACACAATACCACTAAAAAAGAAAAACAAGAAATCCAAGAAGAAACCAGCATTGGTTCACAAAGATCTCTCTGATAAACTTAAAGACAAAAAGTATAAGTACAAAAATGGAAAGAGGGACATATAACTAAGGCAGAATATCAGCAGATAGCCTGAATCTGCAAAGATGAAGTCAGGAAAGCAAAGGCTCAGAATGAACAAAGGCTTGCAACAAAAGTCAAAGATAATCAAAAAAAAGTTTCTTTTAACATATAACAAGAAAAATGTAAGGAAACAATCAGTCCACTAAAGAGAGAAGATGGCAAAGAAGTAATAGGCAGTAGAGAGAAAGCAGAGCTGCTTAACTCATTATTTTCATCAGTCTTCATATAAAAAGAAACTGTAGCCCTACCTATCAAAAAGACAGACTAGAAACAAAAATTAAAATAAGCAAAACATTGTAAGAGAATAGCTGTCTGATCTTGATGAATATAAATCAGTGGGACCTGATGGATTACATCCCAGAGTTGTGAGGGAGCTGGCAGATGTTATCTCAGAACCATGGTATCATATCTTTAAATTTTTTGGAGTACTGGGGAACTACCAGAGGATTGGAAAAGAGCTGATGTGGTTCCCATCTTCAAAAGAGGGGGGGGGAACCAGACCCAGGAAATTATAGAACAATCAGCTTAACATCAATACCTGAGAAGATCTGTGAACATCTGGAAACAAATAAAGTTATAACTAGAAGCCAGCACAGGTTTGTTAAAAACAGATCATGCAACAAATCTAATTTCATTCTTTGACAAAGTGACTAATTAGTAGACCAGCAAAATATTGTGGACGTGGTATATTCGGACTTTAACAAGCCATTTGACAAAATAGACCATAACCTACTTTTAGGTAAGCTAGATAGGGATAGATAGCATTAGTCAATCAGAATAGAGTTGGAAGGAACCTTGGAGGTCTTCTTCTCCAACCCCCCATTCAAGCAGCAGACCCTATACCATTTCAGATAGATTGTAAGGACCCACCCCACTTTGCATCTTAAGAAGACAGAACTCTTGGAATAATTCTTCCAACAGGAATCCTTTATTAAGAAGAAGTGGTTGCAGGCGTGCTAGACAGGACTTGGGGTCCAAGCCCTCCCATTCAAGGTTTTAAGGGGTTCCCCAGTAGTCCCACCCAATCAACCCCCCTTCCAGTGATAGTTTCAGGTATCACAATTCCACCCCCTTTTTTCTTTCTTCCGTCTGGATGGAGACTTCAGATAACTACATGAAAGGCAAATACCCTTCTTTGTTATGGTAAGGTTCTTTGGTGCTAACGCTTTGAGGTTACAATAAACACACATTCAGCATTCAGCTCCTTGAAGTATACTGAAGGAAGTGAGGGCCATAAAGCCCCTTTGTTCTCCCCCTTCTCTCCCTCTTATGGCAGAATCCAGAGAAGGCAGAATTGGGAGTTTCTATATTTGATAATTAAAGATGAAATATAATTGGATTCTGACATCCGGCCCCTCTTAAAAATAAGAGAGATCCACCTGAAAGAAAACACAAGTATAAAATTTAGTCAGACTTGTTAGGATACTCTGTGTGAAACTGGAGGTGGTGGTGGGGGGGATTTTTGGCCGTAGAGGTGACTGATGCTCTCTTTTCAGCAAGCTGCAATGAAAAATTGGGTGTATTTGCCTGAGATTTTTGGGTAATTCTAATTCTACTGTTACTGGATTTATGATTCTTTTAATTGGAAAAGGTCCTATATATTTTGGTCCAAGTTTTTTACAGGGCTGTAGGGACTTTAGGTATTTTGTAGATAAGTACACCATTTCTCCTATAATGAATGGTGTAGGCTCAACCCTTTTTTTATCGGCTTGTGTTTTGTATGCCTGCCTAGCTTCATCTAGTGCTTTTCTGACTATTGGCCAGGTGTTTTGTAGTTTCTCCATCCATTCTTTCAGCGAAGGGATCGTTGGTTCGTTTGGGATTAATTCTGGCATGGGGTTGAAACTTTGACCGGTGGCTATTTGAAAAGGAGTGTAACCTGTGCTGGAGTGGACTGCATTATTGTAGGCAACTTCTGCAAAAGGGAGTAAGTCCGCCCACTCGGTCTGCTGGAAACTAAGAAAACATCTTAAATATTGCTTAAGTACGGAGTTCATTTTTTCAGCCCCCCCATTTCCTTGAGGGTGGTGGCTAGATGTCAGTCCCTGAGTGGTTCCTAAGAGGGATAAAAATTCCTTCCAAAATGCAGACGTAAATTGCACCCCCCTGTCAGAGATGA